ATTCTTGTATAAGAGAACATTTTTTAAAAATCTACAAATTATTTTATAGGCAGTAGTATAAATTATGTACAATAGGTTTACGGGCACTGAGATGTTTTAGGCATTCATTAGTGATACGTTACATAGATTTGATTAATGATAACCCAGTGAAGTCAAACATTATTTATATCCATTGGGGATTGCACGAGTATCATATACCACTGTACCAGTAACTAAGGAACATGTATTCTTACTCACTGCAGCAGGACATAAATTCCACTTTCGTCAGATAAATGCATTTTCGTAGACACTCGTGGAGAGGAAGTTCAGCTGGACCCTGACCAACTAAAACTGTTGATACTACTATCAGAGTCTATGAGTTGTCACACCAGGCAGTGTGCATGGCAACCACAGCTGACAGCAAAGTTTGTCACCCAAGTAGTAGACGTAGGATCGACCCTCCACCACTCCGTGTGCTGAATGACCCACATGGGTTTACAGCTTCATGAAGAAAACAGCCTGCTTATAACGCACATCAGCAGAGCAATACACACAGGCTGTGTGTGATGCTTTATTATCCTCGACACACTCGCAAATAGTAAGAAACAAGTCTAGTTACTCTACTGTACGTAACACTAACATGTGGTCATAAAACAGATTTCAGCATTACTGTGGAACAACGAAACAAACATTACCACAGGATCTCTACCTCAGCACCACTGGGACTTCTTCGAAAATTAGAACGACAAGATCTCCAGTTTGATGTGTGAGCGCTTGAGAATTTATCGAAAGAACAGGAGCTCAAAAAATATAGAATTAAAAATAATAATAATTATTATTATCATTATTATTAGTGATCTGGGAACCTAGCCATTTTAGCGTAACCGGCCCTATTAGAGTAGATGAGGCTGACAAGGCCACCAGTTTATCACCTAGTGAGGAGTAACCTACGAGCGAGTAACAACAAGGATCACAAATATGGAGCCATGCCAACACCTCGATGTCTGAACACGAACACACACACATTCTCTCTCTCTCTCTCTCTCTCTCTCTCTCTCTCTCTCTCTCTCTCTCTCTCTCTCTCTCTCTCTCTCTCTCTCTCTCTCTCTCTCTCTCTGCAATCACAATTGGGTGAGTACACACAGACTTAACATGGTACTGAAAGATAACCAGTTATGAGATCAGAATTCCTGCCCAAGATGTGATTTAACGGGTAAATAGTGCCGATAAGTACGACAAAGAAAGACAACTTGCAGACCTCAGAGCTGAGCTTTATCATGTCATCATGACATTATAAAGCTCAACACTCAGTGAAGTGTCGTCAGAATTAAGGCTTGTTCCACAGACTCACTCTACCATAATTGTCGAAGGTACCGGCAGATTGAGGTAAGCATACATAACATCAGGCGGGCGTACTTTTTCCTGTGAGGAATAAGCACTCAGCATGCGTATGCTTGAACAAGAAAATATCTAAAAATGCAAAAATGCCGCAGTGCTTCCTAGAGTATTACTGGAGTGCCAAGTAACGAGCCCATAATAGGCAGGGAGGACGGACCTGCGTCAGACAGCTGGGAAAGACCCTGACGAGTTTGACTAAAATCCGAGTTTGAAGACATCAAGAGGTGTAGTAGTGCACGTAGGAGGCAGCTCCGCCTCGTGTGGGCGGACCTGGACGGTCGTCAATGAAATATTCCACTAATATGAATGTTTCTTCGTGAATGTCTACCTCCACGCTGAAGCGCCTCCTCTTTCTAACTCTTTTTCTTGCCACATCATGACAGCACACAGAAGTGATTTCATCCACATCTCGCTTTCAATGTCCCACGATAGGACTTAAGCCTAGCAAATTAATTGATTTCAAGGAAGTTAAATTGTGTTCGTGTGGAAACAAGATGTTTGTGTCCTTGAGCTATTAATGGACAGCGGCGGTGTCAGCCTAGCAAGGTTGCTGACACTTGGTAGTTCAGATGCTCTATTTACATGGCAACATACATTAAGCACAATTATATTAATCTCATGAATTTATGAAGAGATAATTGTCCTGAATTATGTCTTCATATTACTGAACATAATTTTTGTTGTTGCTAGGTTTATGCTAGCAATAATGAAGTTAAACAATTTATTATTATTATTATTATTATTGTTGTTTTTTTTGTTGTTGTAGCAGTGCTGTAGTAATTATAAACAAGATAGATATATATTTTAATTAATTTTTCCAAATAAAAAATACAGGTACAAATAGTTCAGTCAAGAATTAAAAGCGATTCCTACCTGGCTATCACTAAAAGCACTAACGATGCAATCATAAAAATGCTAGATCTGCTTTACATAGCTTTGGAAAATAAGGAATATCCACTAGGAATTTTTATTGACCTAAGAAAAGCTTTTGACACAGTAGACCACGACATCCTACTCCACAAACTTGACCATTACGGTATAAGAGGCCATGCGCTTGCATATTTCAAATCTTACCTTACTAATAGGTATAAGTATGTCACCATTAAAGACACAGCATCAACAACACGGCCACTTGATACTGGAGTTCCGCAGGGAAGTGTCCTTGGTCCCCTGCTCTTCCTCATATACATCAATGATCTTCCAAACGTATCTCAACACCTGAACTCCATTCTCGTTGCTGACGACACGACTTATGTCATCTCTCGCCCTAATCTTGCCACCCTCAACACCATTGTTAATGAGGAGCTGATCAAAATATCGACTTGGATGACAGCCAATAAACTTACGCTTAACACTGACAAAACCTACTACATTATGTTTGGTAGCAGAGCAGGAGATGCGCAAATTAACATTAAGATCGACAACACTCTAATTGCCAGGCATAATGAGGGCAAATTCCTAGGCCTATACCTCGACAACAACCTGAACTTCAGCACCCATATCCAACACATAACCATAAAAGTATCCAAAACAGTTGGGATCCTCTCCAAGATATGATACTACGTGCCGCAAAATGCCCTTCTCACACTATACCACTCTCTTATTTATCCATACCTCATCTATGCTATTTGTGCTTGGGGATCAACTGCAGCAACACACCTAAAGCCAATAATAACCCAACAAAAAGCTGCAGTAAGAATAATCACTAAATCCCATCCCTGGCAACACACCCTCCCACTCTTCATAGATCTAAACTTACTCCCTGTTCAGTACATCCACACTTACTACTGTGCAATCTACATCTACAGGACCTTAAACTCCAATATCAACCTTGACCTAAAACGCTTTCTTGATAGTTGTGACAGAACCCACAGGCATAACACCAGACACAAACATCTCTACGACATTCCCCGTGTCCGACTAAACCTTTACAAAAATTCAATGTATGTCAAAGGCCCTAAAATCTGGAACACCCTACCTGAGAACTCTAGAACTGCAGACACATTCATCACCTTCAAAACTACCATTAGAAAACATCTTATCTCCCTGATACACCCCGTCAACTAACTACACGAATGCCACCTGGTGATTCACACTTGCACTCACTCACCCATTTGACCATAAACAGAAATATTAATCTCAATCTTAAAATAATGAATCCTGTGATACTCCAATACTGAAACTATGTACTGTGCCAAAACAAAAGCATTCACATTGCTAAACTCACAAACTAGTATTTAGTCACTTAGCCATAATACCAACTTACCTCATAATTTGTAATATTTTAAAATTAAGAATTAAACTAAGTCTGCCCGAAATGCCTAGCCATGCTAGGCGTTCTAGTGGTACACTCTGTAATCATTATTTTACTACATGTAAACCACACAATAACCAAATTCTGTAAACTCAGCATTGTAATCCTTATAGAGAATAAACTTTGAATTTGAATTTGAATTGAAGTTATTATACATCATAATGAAAGACTAATACACTACCTGGCTATCACTCAATTATCATACATCATAGTGGAACACTAAGAGGCTATCACTCGGCTATCAACTCTCAGACGATATCAATCAAATCTTTTTAGCGCCCTTATATATTTGTTGAACAAAATTAATATTTCTTAACCATAATCACAGCCAGCGTGTAGCTAGTTGCCGTTAGATGGACGGAAACTCTGCTGTTTGGGCAATGTGCTTCCATTTCGTTTGTATTATTCATATATTTTGAACTACAACAGCCTTGGCTTCGACTGTTCCTTCGATTTGTTGTTTTCTGAGATATGGGGTGCATAGTAAACTAGCCTCTTCGGAGGCAAAAATCTAAAACAAAAAATCTGAGAGGAAATTCTCGGACCCATGTCTCTCTTTTCCAACCTATGAGTTTCTAGGAATACATTCTATCTTAGAAATTAATGGTGGTGGCTAGACTGGAGTTCATCCCTAACTACACACACTTATGTCGTCACGATCACATCGAAACTGCTGCCTTTTTTTGTGACCTACAACTGTTGTATGGGAAAAAATGTATGAGGCTCTCTTACAGAAGGTCTTATCATCATATGTTTGGTAGTATTAACCAACAGAAGCAAAAATATTATTTCTGGCGCTGGGTACAAAGATGGCGCAGACTCTTGAAGCTCTATCACACATTTTTATTTGTTACTGTCTTATTCATGCGGAAGTATTAAACTTGTAGGGATTATGCAGTAGTTAAGAAATGGGAGGTAATCAGGTTTGATCCAAGTAAGGGGAGGGGGATCAAGAGTCCCTCACGGGGGTCGCTGCGCATCCTTGAAGGGAGTGTATTTTGGATATATTATTTCAAAGTTTTAGCCAGTTTTACAGCAACTGTCTCAAAGTTTTAGCGTGGTTTGGAAGTTTTTGACATTTGAAATTAGAGGAATCATTAGCATTTAATAGAACTAATTAAGACATATTATCACTATTAACATATGGTCCATAACAACTAGACGTCGTTTCGATGTCCTAAACCAAGTCTTGACTTCATAATGATCCAGGAAGGATCCAGACGTCATCTAGTTTTAATCTAATTTCTGGGTTAGATGAAAATAGTTCTAGCCACGGTGTGGTGACTTTTAACCATGACTTCCTCAACAGTACACATCTTCAAGCTAGCCTCACAGTACGCCCGCTGGGTCACCACGAACGGCAAGTGCCAGACACCACTGCGCCGATGCGTTGAAGTGACTTCCCAGGACCAGCAGAGTGCCACGCTCAGGTACTGGCCCCGCTGTGCTCTGTTGCACCGCTGTGGTGAAGACGCTGGCTGCTGCAACTCGGCTGATATGACCTGCGCCACAGCAGACTCTGAGAAAGTCAACCTCTACTTCTATGTCTTTGTAAGCCACTCTGGAATTTGTATTTTATTATTATTATTATTATTATTATTATTATTATTATTATTGTATTATTATTGTATTATTATTATTTAATCATACCTGCCATCTCTCACCGTGGTATGGTGACCCCAAAACAAAGAGACATTCAACATCAGCCATTCTTATCAGAAGTGTCTTTCCAGAAGTGTGTAGAGACACCGATTCAAATAACCCTCAGAACCATAACATCCCCACCCCTCCTTCAGAGTGCAATCCCACCTTCAGGATTGAATTCAAGTTCAGCCATTCCGTTTCCTTCAGTTGAGTCATGAATATTACCTTGCTCATACCCCAGCAGCGGAGGAAATTCTTAAAATCACTTGCTTCTCCTCCGATACATGCTTTCCCCTACCACTTAACCTCCTTCACCCCCTCCCCCAAACCATCCGGGAAGGACTCCTTCCCCGCCTTCCTTCCACATCGGATTTACGCACCCTTTCGGCTCTCCATTTCTGTTCCATCTATTGTAAATGTCCAAACTACCCTCAATAACCCCTGCTCTGTCCTCTGGATAATGCCTTCCGTAACCCCACACAGTCTTCTAATTTCTACGCTCCGAATTCTTTGCATAATATTCACACCACATATTGCTCTTAACTGCTTCATCCTCCTCCTTGTTGCAACGCTTCACACTCATGTAACAGTGTTGGAACCGCTATACTCTGGTACACTGCCCTCTTTCCGTATATAAACTTTAATCTCTCTAGAGACGCCTCAGTCAACATTCCACTTACCCTCTTTCCCATGTCTGACCTGCATTGACCTCACTCCATGTCTCCCCCCCCAGTGGAAATAAATCACTAACTTTATTGAGCTATGTTGGGTTAAATTTATATAATTTATCACTAATGTATGTCCATAGGATTTATGTAACGTCGTATCAATTTATACTACTGTAAAAATCATAAAAAATATTATCGTTGTCCGTTCCAGGGATTGCTTTGATGCCGGTGAAGGGTTCTCGATCCAAGGAATTGAACCAATCATCTTTTTCCTTGAATAAAAGTGATTTCCTCTCATTGCCAATCACTATGTGTTCTACGAGTTTGGAGTGCTAAACCCGTAAATAACTTCTTGGGAATGTGAGGGATGAGGGACTATCAAGTTTGATCTGAGAGAGGGGAGTACAGTTCCAGTTCCTTTGATCAAGAGCCCTTCACCTTAACAGAAAAAAATAATTTGTACATTTCGTAAATAAAGTTCATCTTAACTGACTGTACAACCCCTGCATGGCAGGGAAACATGACCCCTGCATGGCAGGGAAACGTGATAATGATCCCTGTATAACAGGGAAACATGAAAATGACCCCTGCATGGCAGGGAAACATGATAATGACCCCTGCTTGGCAGGGAAATATGATAACGACCCCTGCATGGCAGGGAAACATATTAATGACCCCTGCATGGCAGGGAAACATGGAAATGACCCCTACATGGCAGGGAAACATTAATGATCCCTGCATGGCAGGGAACTATGACCCCTGCATGGCAGGAGGCCAGTCCATTTATCATCATTCTATCATGCATATGGTGCATCCAACAAAATAAGCAAGACCCTTAAGGTGTTACTACCGCCCGGCTCAGGCTGGGTTACAGATATCTTCGGCAGGTTAAATCACCACCACCAGATGTAGACCAAACGAAATGTAAACTTTGTCTGATGGACAACTGTCACACCTTGCGTAATTATGTACTGGAGTGCGATAAAATTAATGAATTCAGAGACAACTCACTCAGAAATTTTAAAGAAATGTCAAAGTATTTTATCCACAGCGGTATATTACAAACAATTCTGGAAAAATACCCAGACTTTGCTCACTGTCAATAAAGCATTACCACTTTGTGCGTGTGATCAAATTAATGTCTACATAAATAACATAAATTACTGAATATAAGCATGTAAATACAGTTCATTACCACTGTAACTTGAACATTAAAATGGTATAAAATACCGACAGATTGTTAGGTAAGACACATATGCAACAGTTAGGTATCTTTATTTTGAAACGTTTCGCCTACACAGTAGGCTTCTTCAGTCGAGTACAGAAAAGTTGATAGAAGCAGAAGATACTTGAAGACGATGTAATCAGTCCATCACCCTTAAAGTTTTGAGGTGGTCAGTCCCTCAGTCTGGAGAAGAGCATTGTTCCATAGTATGAAACAATATGGAGATGAAGTGACAGGATGGAGCCTTATATAGCGCCAAGAGGTGAGACGTAGGTCACTAGAAGAGGTAAGAACTCAGGTGTTGGGAGGTCAGGTCCCTCTCAAATCCAGCCGTTCTCACTAGTAGAGGTTGTCGAAGTTGATTGTAGGTCTGTACCAAGCTACCCTTGTGTTGCAGTGTCTGACAGATTGAACATTAAAATGGTATAAAATACCGACAGGTTGTTAGGTAAGACACATATGCAACAGTTAGGTATCTTTATTTCGAAACGTTTCGCCTACACAGTAGGCTTCTTCAGTCGAGTACTTTTCTGTACTCGACTGAAGAAGCCTACTGTGTAGGCGAAACGTTTCAAAATAAAGATACCTAACTGTTGCATATGTGTCTTACCTACCACACCACTGTAACTTGTTCAGCTATCAATACTTTGCGGTCCAGTCCCTGGACCCATTATGTACCTCTGTAATCCTTTGGCTACCGCCCACAGGATGGGTATGGGGTGCATAATAAAGAAGTTAAACTAACTGTGTGGCAGGGAAATATGACCTGTGCATTGCAGGGAAATATGACCCCAGTATGGTAGGGAAACATAAGAATGACCCCTACATGGAAGGGAAATGTAATAATATCATGCTTTCCTATCAAATAAAGCTGTATATTGTAACTAATTCAATATGAAGTTAACCTTGCATGACTGAGTGCAATGAAGCAGTATGTCTCGCAATTTGCAAAGGGAGAATAATAATAATAATAATAATAATAATAATAATAATAATAATAATAATAATAATAATAATAATAATAATAATAATAATAATAATAATAATAATTTTATGGTATAAACCTTGGTAATAAATACCGACAAGTTGGTTTAGAAAGACACGTAAGCAAACACTATAACATATTTATTAGAAAACGTTTCGGTCCTGGGACCTTGATCACTTCTAACATACAGAGGTAGAAAGACATTATATATATAGGCGGAGAGTGAGATGTGACGCACGTGACCTGAGGAATGTCATAAGAACATAAGAATGGAGGAACACTGTAGAAGGCCTACTGGCCCATGCGAGGCAGGTCCTTATCAAAACAACCTCTGCCTATGATGAGGATGGGTAGACGATGAAATCATGTGACTCCTGTGTTGTTGGGTTGGTGCTGCTTAAGTATCATGTATGCCAATGTTTTTGATGAACTGGAACGAGGCACAACTCGTTCTCACCGAACCAGACCTTAGACGCCGACGGTGCCTAGAAGCCTCACTAATCGCCGTCACCGACACTATAGAACGCAACACTGGAAACTACAAAATTTCAAAAACATTGGCATACATGATACTTAAGCAGCACCAACCCAACAACACAGGAGTCACATGATTTCATCGTCTACCCATCCTCATCATAGGCAGAGGTTGTTTTGATAAGGACCTGCCTCGCATGGGCCAGTAGGCCTTCTACAGTGTTCCTCCATTCTTATGTTCTTATGACATTCCTCAGGTCACGTGCGTCACACCTCACTCTCCGCCTATATATATAATGTCTTTCTACCTCTGTATGTTAGAAGTGATCAAGGTCCCAGGACCGAAACGTTTTCTAATAAATATGTTATAGTGTTTGCTTACGTGTCTTTCCAAACCAATAATTTTATAGCTCTACAAGTCCATGTACAACGTATACAGACATAGGTGACATTAATGACATGCTGTGTAGAAAGCCCCTGGTTATAACAAAAGTAATCATTATTTTTACAAGTATATGTACAAGGTATACAGGTCTAACTGACGTAGTGACATACTACTATATAGAAAGCCCCTTGTTATGCAGAGCATTTTGGGCAAATTAGGTCAATTTTGTCCCCACGATGCGACCCACACCAGTCTATTAACACCCAGGTACCTATTTTACTGACAGATGAACATGGACAGCAGGTGTCTTAAGGAAACACGTCCTAATGTGTCCACCTGTACCGGGGATCGAACCACGGACCTCAGGTGCGCTGAATGACTCAAATTTAGCGTTAACATAACCACGCCTCAAGGTGCTTTGATGCCGATGAGAGGGCTCTTGATCCATGGAAACGGACTTACTGTCCCTTTTCTTGCATCGAACCTGAAGGCTTTCCCTTCCCCAAGAACCATATAGCCCTTATGGGTTTAGCGCTTCCCAATGATTAAAATAAAATTTACATAAACTTAATCTAAACGCAGTGTGACTTAAAATGACTTTGTTTTCCTTACCTAGGACTCCGGCCGTGCTGGTGTGCAGGTGTTAACCTTCAATAACGACACTCGTTGTGCCTGCCAACCACGATCTGTGTTATCCACGCCTAATACCATCACTCAGGAGTAAGTTCTTTCATCTTGTTCTGCTACATACGCTAATCTCTCTCTCTCTCTCTCTAATCTCTTCACAAAGTCATCTAGGTACAGTATTGTCTCAGTATTGTTTGCATGCATTTTTTTATTATTAAGATTTGACGCACCACAGTGTGTAACCTCTGTAACCTCACGAGCTTAACAACGAATTGTGTTCATTCTATAACCACAATAAATTTAATACGTTGAAAATTGCAAAATATTAAACGGTAATACAAAGAAAGATAGAGACAGTTCAGGATTATGTAACTTGCACTCGTGTTCCTAATTTGACAAGATTGTAATGGTTTACGTTATAATGTTCATTTTCTTTGACAATATGAAAACGAAAACGTGAATGGACGCAATTTAATCATAAACTAAATAGATAAGTAGATAATTTTATTCAGATTATTAACTCAGGATAACCCAAGAAAGCCATTATTCCTGGTTTATTTCTTTTGGGGTCTTTTATCCTATTCCCCAATATGCAACCCAAGGATCATCTTGTTACACTTTACAGACTAATCCTACACTAAATTCTACATAACATTGTAGATAAAACCATTGTAAAAGTTTAAAGTTATGCACGAGGCCTAAATAAAAACCTACCCTTAACAATTTGCTAACATCCAGGTACTTACTGCTAGGTTAACCTGGAAAGTGATCGTTGATGTTAATAAAAGACGCATGTTACAGGTGCAAGTGCCCTCGACACTTCTCACTTTACCTTCGAGATGGTCAGTGCTCCTGTGATTGTGACGATGGTAATAACAAGTGTCGTCGCCTTAAAAAGGGTCGTCGCTACTTCACCAATGCTGATGTCAGGTGAGTGTGACCCTGCTGAAGGGAGCTTAACTCTTTACCTTACCTTTGATGAGTTTCAAGAGTTTTCCTATTCCCGCAGCCTGGCCCTGAGTCAGGCTTGTTTAATGCTTTTCCTGACCGACCAAGCTGTTTATTCTGGCGGCGTGCTGGCTCACGTTTCCATCACAGCCTGGTTGACCTGCCATTTGGTGGAGGCTGGAGGACTAGAAATAGTCCTCCAGCCTATTAAAATATAATCGTTCTAGTCAGAATGTATTGATATTGAAGAATATGTAAAATAAAAATGGACAATACTGTGACTGGAATAATACACAGATAACCCGCACATAGTGGAATGAAACTTATGACGACGTTTTGGTCCATTAACTAGATAATGGTCCAATTCTAACAGAAACGTCGTCATAAGTTATGTATTTTTTATATATTTTATTTAAAACAACTTACAGTGTATACATTATGCTATACATAAGCTCACTGAAGCTAAGAAACAAACTGTAAATAACAACATCCGATGCAATACCCCAATACAAAAACAGGTCCACAATACTCACACATGCCACCGACTGTAGCCATATCACACCCCCCTTACCCTACCCACTGCTCCATATATATGCATATATATACATACACAAATACAGCTATGCATATACATACGTACAACTAACAATATATAGCCCACACAATAACTTACAATTTGCATCATGATTCCATAAATACATCCCAAACATTTAATATTACAATGATCAATACAAATCTATTTCAGGGCACATTTATATGAGGGAAACCCCCATAAACACAGTGTTACAGTATATTAAAATCAGTACTTTATTACACATAACATATAACAGTGACAACCTCCAGGTCCTTTGCAGTTAATCAACCACTAGTCCAACAATAGGTATTTAAACATCTTATGCAGTATACATGAAGCTATACATAGGTGCACTTTAGCCAACAATGAAGTACAGACATTGCAGAAATGCAACATATCCTCCAACCTTTTCTCTTACCCAACGCCATGATGCTATAGGCCATGCAATCCACACACAACCAAAAACAGAAAACTCATTACATCACATGCTCCCATAGATTACCTTGCCACCTATTCCTAGGGAGGAACAGCTCTCTCCCTATATGCACTACCATATCCACTCACACAACCACGCCCACCACAAACACACATCACACTGATACCACAGCAACACACTCCCTGTGCATACCCAACCCCAAAGACGAGCCCATTCCATTCCCTGAACCTCAACCCCCCTCCCCCATTCACAACACTAACAATGCTCTCGCATTCATACTACGATACCCCTCTGGAAAAGCCTGGTTCCAGCTACTCCCATACATCCCCCTATTACAACTCAGGGTTCTATATATGGTCCCTGCCAACACCCTCTTGTGCTCTTCCCAATCCCCATTCCCTCTCATCCCCCAAGACACAAAAACAAAATCTGCAACTATATACGTTATTGCACGCTACACAGACGCCTCTACTCCACCCACATCCAGACTTAATGCCCTCAATACCGATATCCCTTCCCCCCTCCCCACAACCTTACCCATCCATTCCCTGATACCCCCTAAATTGTCACAGAAATACGCCACATGAAATGCCGTCTCCCTATCCCCGCACACCTGACACTCGCTCTCCACCATCAACCCTCTTACCCTCATCACCATCAACCCTCTTTCCCTAAGCGCAGCGCCTGATGGCAGAATACCATGGAGAAAACAGAGCAATATCTCCCACACCTTCGGTTGCACACGCATCAACCATAACCTCTCCCATATATCCCCCCCACACATACACTGGGTAAATACCCTAAGCCTTCATGACCACCTTTGCCCCTACTGCGTGCTCTAAAACACCCACCCGAAGTTTAGTAGGTTCCTGAACATACAGCAATGCCCACAACACATCCTCACACACCCTCATCTCCGACCCTCCCCACCACATTCGCACTTCCTCATATAAATCATCCACGCCCTTCCCCTCACGTCCCCTCACATGGCAAAACCCCCACTTAAAATAAATACACTTGACTCTTAGCCATAAATCTATTATCCCCAATCCCCTCTATTGACCGGAAGCATAACCACACCCCTACCCAACCATTCACACCCTGAACCCCACAGAAAATGGAAAACCTTTCTTAACAGCCTCGTAAGATCCAGACCCGCTAATGGATATATAGCTGCCACATGCCAGACTTTACTATATAGCAACACATTCACAATTATCACGCACTGATGTATTGTCAAATGCATTGGTTGTAACCCATCCAATCACCCCACCACTCGATCCACAACAAGTCCAGAATTAACCATCCTCGCCTCTCTCGCACTACCTATATACACTATCCCACACACCTTTATCCTGTCCACCATATTCCAACGTACATCCCATCCCCAACTCCCTCTCCCCACCCAACCTCCTAAGACCAGCAATTTTGATTTCTCCATATTCACTCTTAAACTGGTAATGCCTGCAAAACTATCAATAAAATCCTCTACCACACGTAAACTCCCCAATGTCCTCACTAGAATCGTCGTGTCATCCACATACCCTATTATTCCCTGCTCTCCACTCCCCACTCCCCTATCCACCCCCACACATGCTCCCACCACTCTATAGAATGGGTCTTGTAGACAAGCAAACAGCAATTGAGACAGGGGACAACCCTGCCTTATACCCCAACCCAAGGATACCCACTCCTCCAGCTTCCCATTTACCTGTACATGCACTCCCACCCCTTTGTACAAGGTCTCTGCCCAATGCACCACCTCCTCCCTGAAACCCTGCCTTCTTAATATATACCACAATGCTTCACGTTCCACACTATCATACGCTGCCTGCCAATCTAATGCTAAGACACCCCCCATCCTCATTCTCCACTTCCAACCCTTCCACAAAATCCTTTATAATACCATGCCCATCATACATCGTCCTCCCAGTCACTCCACATTGTCCTCTTGCAACCACTCTATCCACCACACACTTCAGCCTATTTCCCAGAATTTTTGCAAAAATCTTATAATCAGCACAGAGCAATGACATTGCCCTAAAGTCCCGCACCGTGTTTGGTTGCTCACCTTTTGGCACTAAAACTACAACCACAGTCCCCTGCAACCCGCCCATCCTCCCCTCCCTTTTCATTGTATTCATCAGTTTCACTAAGGTATTCAAAACACTCCAATTTCTCACATAGAACTCACAGGGCAAGCCATCCAAACCCGGTGCCTTACCTCATGCCATCCCCTCCAAGGCCCTCCACACCTCCCCTTCTTCAATATCCCCCCCAATGCCATGCAATCACTGCCACTTAGCACACAAGATGCATTCTCCCCCAACCCCCCTAAAGCCCCCCATCCACCCCTGCACTCAGTAAATATCTTCCAAACCACCTATCCACATAATCACTCATCGCCTCCGTTGTTCATAACTCCTGTCCCGCCCCATACCCACCTAAGTCCTCATGTACCACCAACCTATCAATCTGCATAGCTATACGGCACCGCCTCTGTCCCCGTAACACACAGGCTGACGTTTGATCACCCCACACCACCTCTTCCAATCCACCCTGTACTCCCACCACATCAACTCTGTCATTCTGCAGATCTCGAATCTGCCCCTTTAACAGCTCGATTTCCTCCATGGAATACATCCCAGCCTGCATGCCCCTCTCATAACAACCCTGCAACCGACCCTCGAAATACTGTTGCAGCCCATACATCATCCAACTCTCGCACTTTCCAAATCACATGTAAAACTGCTGGATCCTGCCCTTAGCTACCTCATCCCACCACCCCAATAAATCACCCACATCCCTACCCTCTCCCCATAAATCCTCCCACATTGTCACGAAATCCAACCCCGCCTCCTCCACCCCAAGAAGTCTCACATTCAGCGTCCAATACCCTGGATACCTCTTAGGCAAGCCGGCCCAAGTCAAGTCCACATAAATGGCTCTATGATCCGAGTATACAGCATCCACCATATGCACATGCATCACCCACAAACTCCTCATTACATATAACCTATCTAGCCTGGCCACATAACCCTGTCTATGAAACGTGTGCTCAACTGTCAAATCCCCACCTCCAACAACATCTCCCAACCCCACGCCCCGCAAAAGATCCCCTAGTCCTACCAAAAAACACCCCGCCCCCCATGGCTCCACATCCCTTCTATGTACCACACAATTCCAATCGCCACCCACGATGGCTACTGGGGGAAGGGATCGCAAATAATAAATCAAAACATCATGCACAAACTCATTCTTCACCCATACATCATGCTCGCCGGTGCATACACACAAACCACTGCCAGTCGCTCACCCCTCCACCACCCATCTACCCGGAGTACCCTACCCCCCCTCCCTCACATCTAATAACAAATGAGCTCATCTCCTGAATCAGGATCCCAACCCCTCCCTTCAGTCGATCCGAATACGCCACAAACACTCGATACCCATCCACTTTCAAATCCCAGTCAACTTTAAAATTATATTCCTGCACAAACACTACATCTATGGCATAATGCCTTAAAAAAACCTGGAGCCACAGACACTTCACATCTGCACACACCCCATTTACATTTACAGTCATACACCTGAAACCTTCTTAAAGGGTTTTACACGCTGCCCTGCAACTCCTTTCACAGGCGCACTACCAGCATGTCAACTTTTCCCACCACGCTCTCCTCTGAGAGCGTGGTTCATCCCCCCCAGTCTGACACCTGACCGGACACACCTGTGATGCCTCCATGCACCACATCTACTAGTTTCTTCCCCGGCCTCTGCTCTGGGGTCAAGACATCATCCGAGTCAGATTGTGTTGCCGCCCTCTTTCGCTGAACACTCTCTGCATCCATGTCCAATTCGGTAGATGCCTCACAATGTATCTCTGCCGCCACCTCGACCATGGCCCCTGCTCCGTCCCACTGCCTGCCTCCTGTCGTCGCTGCTGTCTCCCATATTGGGCTGCCATATGGTCATAAGCACCACATAGCCTGCAACTCTTGCACTGCCCTGCATAATGCACCATCATTTGTGTCCGGAAGTCTTTTAGGATGACATACGATGGGATTGAATGCCTCAACATCATTTTCAGATTGAACGTACCCTACGGCAAGCCAGCATACGCCCCATCCACTCAAGTACCTGTCGTCACCAGATGCACAGTGCCATATCATTCAAAAGCATTCCGTAGGTCCGCCTCGTCAGCCTCGAAAGGCACATTACGTACCTTCACCCAAGTATAGTGCCATGACACATCAATAAGATGGACATGTACTGCCGAGTTGACGTCCACACAACCACCTTGATACTTTTCCACCAGACGTTCATACAATCCTGTGATCAAAACTTGACGAATATCCGGAAAGCCCCGTTGAGCAACACATCATACAGATCTTGATCCGCAACACCATGTGTGTCACGGATAATCGCAGGTAGAATCACTTGTGCGGACTGAGGCATAACTACACCCC